TCCCCGGAACATAGCTCCACCCCCCCCCCCCCCACCATAGGAAGATTTTTCCCACTCCTTTCCTGGTGACACTATAAATGTTGGCATGTCTCAACAACAAGGGTCACCACAACAGAGAGGGTAAATCTCCGCAGAGGGGACATAATGAGAGCAGTGAACCTGACAGGGCCTCTAACTCTTTCCTACTCTAAATCTTGGAGGGACCCTAAAAGCCCAACTCTGGGCTGGCTGCAGGCTTCCCCATAGAAGTTAGGCACCTTTCAATGTAGAAAAACGAGGACATCTTGTGGTGGAGAAGAGGTACTGCAGGACACAATGCCAGAGAGTAGATAGCAAATTACCCCCAAACTGGGCATGATGAGAAGGTCAGCACCAAGACCTTAGAACTTTGACACTCTACTTTTGCACAACTAGTGCCGTCAATGAGGGCTGACCCATTGGGTTTTGGGCACCACCACGCAGCGGATTTTATAATTCCCCCGGCACGCCCACATACAAATCGATAACCCGGTGTCGGTTGGGCACTCACATCTCGTAGATCCGCTGACTTCGGACCACAATCTTCATCTGTTTGGTGGGCGATAAAGTGCCGTCGTCATTCCGGAAGCGGTAGAATAATTTGGCATCTTTAAAGACTGAGTGCTCGTCACACACTGCGGACAGGAGGAAATGAGAGCGGCACATGAACAACAAGACTTATTTCATTCACAGGGCAATGAACACGGGGCCAGAGCGACAGCCAATCAGAAATGAACAGTTAATGCGGGGCAGGAAAATGCCAGGGGGATAGGCACATCCAAGCACCAAACAATATTATTAAACATATAATAAGAAATAATGGGTTCCCTAATCAGTCAGAAAAAGACTCCTCGGCTCCATCTGGTGGTGGCAATGCCATCAGAACCGCATTCGCCCAGGATATGGGCCACCAGATATTTCCCTTAGGACAGTAAAGCATTAGACCCACCGTGATGAATGATGTTGGACTCCACGAGCTTCTGCATGATACTGATGGCGGTCTCTCTGTCCGGAGCCTCCTGGTGCTCGATCAGCCAATCGACAACATCCTTCGCCGAGCAGCAGCTTGGGTACGTGAGAGTGTGGTGGCATCTGTCTCGGATCAGCTTGGCATTGTGCAGACGCAGCCTGCAATACACAAAAGCGCCGGTTACACCACACGATTCTGGCCACATCTACAGGTCATAGAGTTATTGGAGGTGCGGGACACCAGGTTCTCACCCAACACATGGGCAAGGTTATAGGAGTCCCTAGACACCAGGTCCTCACCCAACAAATGGGCAAGTTTATAGGAGCCCCTAGACACCAGGTCCTCACCCAACATATGGGCACTCCTATAGGACCTGCTGGACACTGGGTCCTCACCAACGCATGGGCACTCCTATAGAACCTGCTGGATACCAGGTCCTCACCAATGCATGGGCACTCCTATAGGACCTGCTGGGATGGGGTCACCACCCCCTAGGAGTGCCCAGATCCTCACCAACACATGGGCACTCCTACAGGACTTGCCGGACACCAGGTCCTCACCAGAGCATGGGCACTCCTACAGGACTTGCTGGACACCAGGCCCTCACCAACGCATGGGCACTGCTATAGGACTTGCTGGACACCAGGTCCTCACTAACGCATGGGCACTGCTATAGGACTTGCTGGACACCAGGTCCTCACCAACACATGGGCACTCCTATAGGACTTGCTTGACACCAGGTCCTCACCAACGCATGGGCACTGCTATAGGACTTCCTGGACATCAGGTCCTCACCAACACATGGCCAGTGATACGAGGACCTGCTACATACCAGGCAAAAATACAGCCCAGCCATGAGGGGTACAACTGCTGCTCGGTTAGGATTGAGCATACACAATGGTGTCACCCATCCACTCACAGCCTCCTAAGTGGACAACAACAGAGCAGCAACACAGATGAATGTATACGCCCTGCTCACCTGTCACGTGCATGCAGCAAGGCCCTTCCCATAGTACAATGGGATCTCATTAGGGGCCCCAGAAGCGCCACCTGTAGGAAGCGGCCATTGCCGGGTGATGAAGACACGGGATAGATATTAGTAAATAAACGTCTGTCTAGACACTCAGGACAGATATTAGTAAATAGTTCGTTGTCCCACCTGAGCTGCTCCCCGGCCAGGCTGATCTCCGTCTGTCTCTGGAAGCCCTCGGCTCTCCTCTGCATGCTGCTGCTCAGCAGTTCCATCCTCTCCCCGACGCCCGACGCTGCCGAGACTCTGATCATCATCAGCGAGCGCTTCGCAGCATCAGCTCTCCCCTACAACCGGCAATACATCCCAAATAGCCCTGAAAGGAGGGTAATAAGCCAAACCCCTCCCCAAATTAGGAGACAGGTGAGGGGGGCGGATGGGAACCCAATCACATAGACTTCTACAGGTCCCGGCAAAAGTCTACAATCCATTTACCGTCCAAAACTTGAAGGGCTACAACCCCTGTTATGGTTGTATTAGTGTCTGTGTTCCCATTGGGGAGATTCACCAAGTGTGACCACCTGGGATTTATCTCTTGGGATGATTTCTGCTGACTTCCTGTTATGTCTATGGGACAGGAAGTGAAGGGAAATCTCCCTAATGGGACACATATGGCTGAGGGGGTTCTAACCCTCCTTTACGATTATATCCAGATCTATTGATCAATGTTTTCCAGTAAATATTCACCCAAGATCCAGTTTTTAACAAAAACAGCAATGGTGGGTGAAAGTTATGTGAATCTTGAGTGGAAACACTGAAACACGGGAGGCTTTAATTATGCAATCCAGTGCGTTCCAGGTACGAACCGTGCCGTGACACACTGGATATGGTGAGAACCGGCCCGGGTGACTTGAGTCATGGGACGTGCCTTAAAAACTACTCCCATGAGGCTTTGCAAGAGCCACAGGCATGGTTCCCAGAGGGATGATGGGATATGTAGATTCACCATGGCTGCAGGGCCGAGGATGCCCATCCCTGGAGGAGGGAATGGTTGAAACCTGTCAGTTTATAGTTTTTGTCCCTGTTGGAGAAATGTCCTTTCACTTCCTGCCCCGGAGACACAACAGGAAATGAGATGAACTCTGCAAAGGGAGGGGAAATCTCCTCTTAGACATTGTCACTGGAAAATTAGGGTTTATCCTCACTTCCTGTCCCAGACACACAACAGGAAGTGATATGAACTTTACAACGTTGGGGGAAATATCTTGTGATTTCAGTTAAACAGGTGACCCCATTGGAAAATGTATCCTCTCTTCCTGTTGCGGTGACAACTGTGACATTTTGTATTTCCCATCACTTTCTGTCCCGGTGATGATGGTCTCCAGGATGAGAGCGGGGTCACAGGCTGTGATAAAACCCCAACAGGAGTTGTAATCCTTCTCTACTCCATCTAAAACCAAACTCTTGGATGCTGGGGATGCGGTTGTAGGTGGGTGCTGGGAGATCCGGTTGTAGGCGGATGCTGGGGATCCGGTTGTAGGCGGATGCTGGGGGATCCGGTTGTAGGCGGATGCTGGGGGTCCTAGTTGTAGGTGGATGCTGGGGGTCCTGGTCGTAGGTGGATGCTGGGGGTAGGTGGATACTGGGGATACCGGTTGTAGGAGGATGCTGGAGGTCCTGGTCGTAGGTGGATGCTGGGGGTTCTGGTCGTAGGTGGATGCTGGGGGTTCTGGTCGTAGGTGGATGCTGGGGGTCATAGTTGGCCAATGATGTTTTATCAGTGTCAGAGAATCCAGCATGGATATCTATCTGTGGGGATTGCTGTAGCCAATCAGAAGACCCCTTTATAGAAGTCGTGGAGGGCGGAGCTGGGAATTCAAGATCTCAGGATTTTCTGCAGAGTTCCTGAGTGATATAAGCAGTACTTCCACTCACCGGCGTCTGGCTGCGATATCAGTCCCTCGGATTGGGAACATTCAGTGCAGCAGAAATGTTTTTGTAGCCTTCCCCACATCTGTGCTCTGCAATAATTCTGTCTTAGGCTGGGCACACACCTTACAACCATCGCGAGGGGGGGTTACAAACTCTGCAAGTTGTAAGGTCCTGTTAACACAATAGCATTGATACAGGTATAGTGCCTATGCGTTTAGAGCATAGTGCCGTGCACACTAGGTGTCCTGGTGCTTTGTCCATTTTGAATGACCCCCAAATGCACCTCCTGGTGGTTGATAGTGTGAATGGGCCCCGAGTGAAAAATTGGTCTGGACAATTGAGGTCAAAAGTGGAGTTTTGGCCAGTGAAAGGGTTAATAGTGGATTTTTCTCCTAGCTATTCACTTTCATCCCTCAGGTGAGCTTAATTGCTTTCAATTATCTCCACCTGGGTGTGTCAGGTTTACCTGATTGCTCTGGAGGCTGGCTTGCATTCACTTCCTTTGGCTGGGCACACACACCTTACAACCATCGCAGGACTTTTGTCTTGCGATGGTTGTAACGTAATTTAAAAAAACGTACGATCTGCCCATCTTGGACAGGCAGACCGTACTTGCGATGATCGCAAGCCACGCCCCCCCCTTCCAATGACCGGCCCGTCCGGCTTTTATCTTACGAACATGCTACACACCCACCGAACATCGTACGATGCTCGGCAGGTTTTCGAGCATGTTTGTAAGTTTAAAGTCGTGCGACCTTACAGTAGTAGAGGTCGCACGTCTTCCACACACCTTACGATAATCGTACGATCGTGGGATTTCCCACGATTATCGTAAGGTGTGTGGGCACCCTTAGGGCTTGTTCACACCAAGCGCGTTCCAGGAGCAGAGCGGTTACAGACCGGAGCAAAACTGCATCCAATGTATTCCAATGGTATTTTTAGCTCCAGTTCACACCGCAGCGTTCAGTTCCAGCGCATGTAAAAAAACAAAACTGCAGCATGCCCTATTTTACCTGCTCTGGAACGCATCAAAAACACAGGCAAACGCACTGAAAGCCCATTTTAAACAAAACATTTTTTTACCAAAAACACGGCAAAACCCACTGCACTGCATGTGCAGAAACTCATGCAGATCTGCTCTGCATTTGGTGTGAACAAGGCCTGAGGCCTAGTTCACACCAGCCTCAGTGCGTTCTGGCCCAATTTTGGCCGGAGCACACTGGATCGCATTCTGGCCGGCTCACTTTGTTTTGGGGGCGCGGCATTGAACTCAATGGCACCGCAGCCATGCCCTTCCACCACAATGCGATCGGCTGCACGGGAACACGTGGCACATAAGTGAGTGCACTATTTTTGCTGACTGGACCGGAACGGAGGCACTGATGTGCTACACTTTCCCGTGCAGTCGATCGCATTGCAGCTGCGGTGCCATTGAGTTCAATGCACCGTGACGCTCCCTCCTGCCCCAAAACAAAGTGAGCCGGACGGAATGCTATCCGGCCAAAATCATGCCGGAATGCACTGAGGCTAGTGTGAACTAAGGCCCGGTTCCCACCTGGACGTTTTTTTCCGCACGTTCGTACATTATTTGCAATGTGCATGGTTCCCATCTGGACGTTTTTCCGCGAGTACGAACGCGCGGGAAACCGCCCTACGCCCAAAGAAGTACATGTACTTCTTTGGGGCGTTTTGGTCGGGCGTTTTCATTGGGATGCAGCCAAGTAGCCCTCGGAAACGCGCATTTGTCGCAGTTTTTTTTACCGCGGATCGCGGTAAAAACGTGCATATATTTAATACGCCTAGGTGTGAATCCAGCCTAAGGCCCCATTCACACTGAGCCATTCGCAAATCGCGCGTTTGTCGCGCAAATGCTTGCATTGAGCAAGCTAGAATCGCGGCAAAATCCGCTCCAAAAAGGGTCCTGCTGTAGCGACTCACGACAGCGACCCATTGAGATGCATTGGAGAGCGATATCGCGCGCTAAATAGCCACGATATTGCGGGAATTACCGCGCGATAAATCGCTCAATGTGAATGGGGCCTTACCCTGGGCTCTGCAGGCAGTTCTTTTTACCTCACGAATTTTGCTCTGATAGAGTATACATGCTCAGCTATGAGGCCTCCTATAGAGAGGTGTGCGCCTTCCCAAATCATGTCCAATCAATTTAATGTACCACAGGTGGACTCCAGTCAAGGTGTAGAAACATCTCAGCAATGATCAGGAGAAAGCGGAGGCACCTGAGCTCAATCTCAAGTGTTCCTGCAAAGGGTGTGAATACTTATGCAATGTGATATTTCAGTTTTCCCTTTTTCATACATTCGCAAACATTTCTAAAATTCTGTTTTCACTTTGGCATTACGGGGTACTGAGTGTAGATTCATGAGAAAGAAAAGAATTTAAACAACGGAAGAATTAGGCTGCAACATAACCGAATACTTTGCGAATGAGCCCCAATCCATACAATGCTGAGCTGTGCCTCCTATAGGAATCCCCCGATGGTCCGGCACGGATGAACGTCCCCCGATCTGCCACTGAGGTGTAAAGAAAGCACAGAGACGCGGATGGTCATATTTCATTTATTGTCCACATAATTCTTGGAAAACAGAAGCTCCGCCTACAGCGGCAGAGTTATCACGAGGGATATGGCAATGGACACAGATATACAGCACTCCATACACACAAATGCAGGCACCAGAATAGGAAGGGAGGGGGGACACACACACACACATATTCAGACTGCCAGCGCCCCCCCTATTCTATGTGCGTTCACAGTAATTATGTATCTCCCTGGCGGTACAAATAAAAGGGGCGGGCACATGGGCAGCCGGAGACCATGCCAGATTGCAGCAAGGGGCTATGTCCGGAAAACACTCGCCGTTTATCACCGGCTGCCATAGTCCCGGGCCTCATCGCCTACCAGGGACAAGGAATAAACCTGCCGGTGGCGGAACGATGAGCAACGCAGAATTGGCTATTGATTTACTTGTAAGAGAGTCTCAAACACAGAAGAACTGAAGCCGGCGGATGAGCATTACAGCCAGGGAACAGGGATTGTCCTTACAGCAGCCATCCAGTATGTCAATGTGAGGTTCTCATTGGCTCTTTGGGGCCCCACAGCCGGTCCTGGCCTGTGGGGGTCTCTTGAGGGCAGGACAGGGAAGGCATTCAGCAACATATTTACATATTTACAGCACCGGGGGGGCCTGGTGTGCGGGAGCATTATCTGCATGAAGTGGGTCTACCATCTTCCACCCCCATTGATGGGTCTTTGAACATGGAACCCAACGGGCTCCAGTGGGTTGGTAGTAGTGTTCTTATTACATTGCCATTCCTATCTAATCTG